AGTCTAGTCTTAGTCTTGTCTATAGTCTAGTCTATAGTCCTAGTCTATAGTCTAGTCTATAGTCTAGTCTATAGTCTTGTCTATAGTCTAGTCCTATAGTCTAGTCTTTAGTATAGTCTATAGTATAATATATAGTCTATAGTATAATATATAGTCTATAGTATAATATATAGTCTATAAGGCAATATATTTTATTCAACGTACCCTTCAAAATTTACTGTGGAGGCTGCTGCTGTTGTTGTTGCTGTTGCTGCTGATTAGTTGCTGTCGATTGTTTCCAATTATCATTCCAAATTGAGCTTAAACCACCGAACAAATTAAACATGGGCATATTATCATGATCTGTTGAAGATTGTGTAAGATTATTTGACGAAGTAGCCATTGTTGTGTTATTGAAATTTGAAACGGCTGCAGACGATGTGACAGCAACAGAGGCCAAATTATTATTGAGCGGAAAATTTTGTTCTAGGCCTGGCGGTGGTCGCACTAAACCGCTTGCGGGCGATGAAGAGTTGGGGCTTAAGCTCCATGTAGTATTCTGTGTCTGAGGCTGACTAAATATAGAAGATGGATTGGTGTTGTTATTAGCGCTTGATGTATTGCCCAAAATGGGACTCCAAAGAGGTGAAGAGAGATTTGACCAGTTATTGCTTAAAGCATTCGAATTTAGATATTGTTGTTGCTGTTGCTGTAAGTGTTGTTGTTCCAAAATTTGCCTTTGTAAGACCAATAATTGAGCATTGATATCCTGTTGGTGTTGTTGCATTGTGGACGATGCCAAGTCGTTGTAGCCAAAATTCGAAGTCATAGGATAGTACATGGAGGAGGACGACGATGACGAAGTAACTGGCGAGGTGGTATTTAATGGCCGTGGTAATTGCATTGTTATGGCACTTTGTATGGGCTCCCAGACTGGTGTGGAAGAGGGTGACTTGCGTGAACCTATGGGTCCTAAATCTGTGACCGGATTTTTTGGGCGTTTTGGTGTTAAGGCTGCAGTTATTTCAGAGTTTTCCAAACCATTCGGGGAGTGAGACATAAGATCAAATAAAGATCCTTGTTGCTGTATGAGATCAGTAGTAGTTGAAGTTGAATGTTCCTGCTGCTGCTGCTGTTGTTGTTGTTGTTGGGATTTCTGTAAAACATCACTAAATGTGGCATGATTGCCACAATCCCAAGGCGTCAAAATGTCCACATGAGAATTAGTGTTTTCTGTTTTATTTGCAGTCATAGAAGTTGGTGACGAAGAAGCCGAATAGGATGAGGGAAACATAGTTGTGGCATTGTTATTGTGTGTAAATTTCAATGAATTTGAGGCTTTTACTTTAGCTTTACGTTCATTACGTTTAGCCGTGTTTTGATGTTGCGAAGAGCAGGAAGATGAGGTCGATGAAGAGGTTGAAGAAGAACTTGTTATATCCGAGATAACTGGCGAGATGTTTTGTGCAGATTGTTTACGTCTCTCGCGTCCTGGTGTCTTGCCTATTTTACGTCCATTTGTTGCTTCCTTGGGAGAATTTTGGCTTTTATCTGTTGTTTCTACTCCAGCTGTTACCTGACTAGTTAACTCCACTGATTTTCTTTGTTCTCTGGCTTCTTTTGTTGTTTCTGGATGATGTAAAGTTCCAGTTTTCGTTTGTAGTTTAGGAGAATTCTTTTCCTTTTTCGTGTCCTTGTCTAAGTGCTCCTCTCTTCTTAATTTGACTTCTTCCGTTTCAGTTTTCTCTTGTTGTTTAGTTTGACCTTTATCATTTGCTTTGGATTTTTTGCTAATTTGACTTTTTCTCATATCACCATCCATTTTATCGATTAAGGATTTTTCACTGAATTTTGCTTTCGAAGAAGATTTAGCTTCATTTGCTATTGCTCCTGTATTACTCGCATTTGTATTCGTTTGTTCTGCTGGCTTGGAATTCTTGTTATTATTTGCTGCCGCTTTCTTAGAAGATTTTGTTCCAAATGTCCAACTAACCATTTCGGCCAAAGTCATGCCTGTTCGACCAGAAGATGCTGAGGATTTTGCTTCACCATTTACTGCTTTAGAGTTTTTAACATTACGTTTCTTTAGGCTCATTAGTGATGAAGAAGGATTATCACTCCTGTCGCTGGAATTCACTTTCGTTTTAGTTTTTTGATGAGTTTCGCTTGTTGAGGGAGAACCATCATTATTATTTTGGGTGGAACGCATGGCTATATTACGTAAATTAAAAGTTGGATGTACGGTACCCTTATCACGGGCCTCATAAAGAGCGGACTGATTGTAAATAATGTTGCCGTAATCAATATGCACTGCTACTAGTACCAAAACAAACGTTATTAAGAGCATAACAATGGCTGCATTGCGTATTTTCTCCTCCCAGGGTGGTCGTGGCAATAATAACTCACATTGTTCTAAACCTTTAGAGGGCAACTGGGCCACTAGTATGTAATTAACATCATAAGTAAGATTTGTTTTGAGCGTTAATGGTCTAGTGATACGAGTCACTGTAAAATCGGATTGAAAGGAAATTTCAATCTTTTTCGAAGAATTTGCCATCAGTTCAAAACTTGAGCAATCCATGACTTGAAAACCATAACCCTGGCAGGGTTGATCATCAATCCAAAAGCCCTCTATTCTTATGGGTAATTCACCAGAGTTGCGTGCCGTAAAAACGCGGCGTGATATAACCTGCAATAAGAATAATATAAAAGGTTTCTTATATGGAAAGATTAAGCAAATACTTACTTGCGGCACTACATATTGTTCCGATGTTGTATCACTCAACTTAAATCTCTCATCTCTTAACGGACAAGCTGAGGCCAAATGTTGTTCGGTTATTTCAAATAGTAAAGGCGTTTGTGATCCCGGCTTACGATTGCCCAAACGAAATTGTGATTGTACCGTTTTAGCACTAATCCATACACCTTCATATAGTGTCAAATTATTGCGTATATGTAGCAGCGTGCAAATAGTACCCACATAGTCGGCTTGAAATCTAATCGGTATCGTTACACTTGAAAGACCTGGTATGAGTATAGGTTTTTCGGGAGGACTATTAACTAATGAAAATACCGCTTTATCAGTTAAATAACAACTTGGTGTTATGACCACCACTTCTAAGGGTAAAGAGATGCGTGTTTGTTTCGCCAGTGTGGGATCAGCCAAAGTATAATCGATTAGTATAGGATTATCGGATGGATTTGTTAGTTTCACTTCATAAATATACGTTTTATTCACTTCGATGGTGGGCAACATTTGTCGTCCACTCACCAGTTGAGGCCATTCCAATTCGATCATTAGATTTAATTGAAATTGTTGCATTTCTTTGGTTGTCATTGTAAAATCCATATTTTGTATATAATATTTCAAATGTCTATAGAGTTCAGTGCGTCGTCTGAGTTCGACTTCATCAAAATTGGGTATATTCAAACTGTTGGCCACTACAGAACTGGGAAAGGTGGCCATTTCATCTGTCTGCTGTTGTATGTAACAACGTGAGCCGCACAATTCTGAAGGACGAAAGTAAATACGTCCTACAGTGGTAACAGATTGTGGTGCTATTCTAGAGCCCAAAGGATTTTTATCTTCAAATCTTAAGCCGGAATCGGTGAAATTAATGTATTTTATGTGTATGGGCCGTTTAAATGTCGAACGAATGCTCAATTCAGAAGAACACAATTTACCCTGGAAACCACAACAAATGAATTAATGAACAAATAATAGTGTTTTATATGGCTACAGACAAGACTAGAGACTAGACTATAGACTAGTCTATAAACTAGACTGTAGACTAGTCTATATACTGGACTATAAACTAGACTAAAGACTAGACTATAGACTAGACTATAGACTAGACTATTGACTAGACTATAGACTAGAATAAAGACTAGACTATAGACTAGTCTAAAGTCTAGACTATAGATTAGTCTAAAGTCTAGACTATAGACTAGACTATAGACTAGACTATAGACTAGACTACAGATTAGACTATAGACTAGACTATAGACTAGACTATAGACTAGACTATAGACTAGAGTATAGACTAGACTATAGACTAGAGTATAGACTAGACTACAGACTAGACTAGTCTATAGACTAGAATAGACTAGACTATAGACTAGACTATAGACTAGACTATAGACTAGACTATAGACTAGACTATAGACTAGACTATAGACTAGACTATAGACTAGACTATAGACTAGACTATAGACTAGACTATAGACTAGACTATAGACTAGACTATAGACTAGACTATAGACTAGACTATAGACTAGACTATAGACTAGACTATAGACTAGACTATAGACTAGACTATAGACTAGACTATAGACTAGACTATAGACTAGACTATAGACTAGACTATAGACTAGACTATAGACTAGACTATAGACTAGACTATAGACTAGACTATAGACTAGACTATAGACTAGACTATAGACTAGACTATAGACTAGACTATAGACTAGACTATAGACTAGACTATAGACTAGACTATAGACTAGACTATAGACTAGACTATAGACTAGACTAGACTATAGACTAGACTATAGACTAGACTATAGACTAGACTATAGACTAGACTATAGACTAGACTATAGACTAGACTATAGACTAGACTATAGACTAGACTATAGACTAGACTATAGACTAGACTATAGACTAGACTATAGACTAGACTATAGACTAGACTATAGACTAGACTATAGACTAGACTATAGACTAGACTATAGACTAGACTATAGTCTAGACTATAGACTAGACTATAGACTAGACTATAGACTAGACTATAGACTAGAGTATAGACTAGACTATAGACTATAGACTAGACTAGACTATAGACTAGACTAGACTAGACTAGACTATAGACTAGACTAGACTATAGACTAGACTATAGACTAGACTATAGACTAGACTATAGACTAGAATATAGACTAGACTATAGACTAGACTATAGACTAGACTATAGACTAGACTATAGACTAGACTATAGACTAGACTATAGACTAGACTATAGACTAGACTATAGACTAGACTATAGACTAGACTATAGACTAGACTATAGACTAGACTATAGACTAGACTATAGACTAGACTATAGACTAGACTATAGACTAGACTATAGACTAGACTATAGACTAGACTATAGACTAGACTATAGACTAGACTATAGACTAGACTATAGACTAGACTAGACTATAGACTAGACTAGACTAGACTATAGACTAGACTAGACTAGACTATAGACTAGACTATAGACTCGACTATAGACTAGTCTATAGACTCGACTATAGACTAGTCTATAGACTCGACTATAGACTATACTATAGACTAGACTCTAGACTAGACTCTAGACTAGACTGTAGACTAGACTATAGACTAGACTATAGACTAGACTGTAGACTAGACTATAGACTAGGCTATAGACTAGACTATAGACGAAACTATAGATTAGACTATAGACTAGACTATAACCTATTCTTCGTGTATATAATAATCACATTTAAGAAAATATCACGCAACTTACCGGAAAACAATTAGTAAAATGTAATTTCTCCTGATCCACCTCCAGTCTACCCAAAGCTGTCGTAAATTTAATATTTACGGTTATATTTCATACTGTGTTAGAATTTTTAAATATGCCACCGTATATTCCGTGGTATAGGGTTGTAACTGTACCATATAAACAGCAACATCGCCTTCATTTAATTGTGAAGAAATCTTATAGTTAACTTTCTCCAAATCCACCGAATAATTATTGGTTTCATTAATGTCCGCGGCTCGTACGCAGCCCAAAAAAATATATGATAATAGATGCCATGAGGTCTTTGAAAATCCATATCGGTTAATTTAATTGGTAGGGAATTGCGATTTTGAAAAATAATAAAACCCTTATTGGATGATTCACGAATGGGTACAGAACCTAAATCTAATTCTTTGGTATAAACAGATGTATTAGAGCGCCATATCGTAAGGGTTTGTGTGGCAACAAACAAACGTGCAGAACTTATGACAATGGGTATTTCGAAATTGGTTAGATTTGTAAAAACATAAATGGCAGTCTTATAATTTGTTAGATCTTCAAGATCCTCTTGTTGTTGTTGTTGTTTATATAAACTAGAAGCCACTAATAGATCAAAAGAGAGTCCTGGCCTTAAAATCATGCCACTTTCAAATGTTTCCAATTGCAAGCTAAGCTTAGCAGCATTATTATGTTGTGTGCTTATATTGTAAATGGCCATAGGAATTTTAAAATCATTACGCAACGTTAATACTCTACTACCGTCACCTGCGTCTTTGTCATCGTTGTCATAGCCATTTGCATTTGATAGTTTATTGCTTGTGTGTTGTGTTGGTATTAAAAATAAAGTTTTATTAACGTCATAATGTAAATTGCCTTTAAATATATCGGCTCTTATTATTAGCTCTACACTGTGATATGTATGCGCTTTTTTATCTTCTAATTCTATGTTTAATTTATCATTCAATCGTACCACCGGTTCCGCCACATCATTTGGATAGAGCACAATATTATGACTATTCTCAAAAATTAAACCACTAATGTAAGTCATTTCTTTAAATTGCAAATCATTTACTTCCATCTGACTCTTAGAATGCCGTAAGTATAGTTTTTGTTTTAGTACTTTTACAGGGCTTTCGTCATTGACGGCTATGTGACCAAACTCTAGTAGTGGATTAACCGCATATAAACCATACTGAGGTAATATCTCAAATTCAACAGGTATTACCAGTACCTGTTCTTCCTTTTCTACGCCATCCGTGTTCGCGGAAGGATCACTGGAATTGTGTGGTTCGGAGATTTTTATGCGTATATAAGCTGAATAATTACCGGCTGCATAACCTTGAAATCGTATGCGTATCACAGGCTTTGTTGTTAAAGGAGGGTATTTCCCACAGACCCTTAGGTGCTTCCGAATCACCACTGGGTAGTTCTAATTGAAACTGGCCACCACTGCTATAGACCTAAAAACAAATTAAAATAAATTAATACATAAACATACAAAAAAAATTTGTGGTAGATAATATTTTTTCTTATCAATTATTATGTTTAATAAACTTGTAAAATTTAGTTAAAACAAGTAAAAGAACTAAATGCGACCATGACGAATCTTATACACCCTTCACCATAGTGAACTTTACTATATACTTAGCTATCAGTGAAATCCTCAAAACCCCATATTTGTGGTTATATTTATACCCTGTACGAATATAAGTTTCCAAATCAAAATTTTCATAAATTTGCTACCAATCGAACATTTCTTCATATTTTTTAAACTTTCAACTAAGATTTATTTTTATTTTTCAATTAACTTGATTGAGCTATTTTTAAATGTAAAAGATGTGTCATATAACAGCACATAAATAGTTCCATAAAAGGTGACGGCTGAAGACTATTGCTAAAAGAATTTTCATAAGACTGTAATAAATTATGCATCATATATATTGTGTAAAATAAGGCTAATATATACTCTTTAATTACTTCTGGTTCAACTTACACTTTCCCCCTTCTCTCCTCTTTTGTTTTTTTTTTTCATTATCTTGGAGGCAAAGGAACCAACAGGACCTAAAGATAATAAATATATGATCGATCAACTTCTATACCAAAACAATAAATGTTAGAACATATAAATTTGAACCAGAACTGATCTAGAACTGAACTAGAACTGAACTAGAACTGAACTAGAACTGAACTAGAACTGAACTAGAACTGAACTAGAACTGAACTAGAACTGAACTAGAACTGAACTAGAACTGAACTAGAACTGAACTAGAACTGAACTAGAACTGAACTAGAACTGAACTAGAACTGAACTAGAACTGAACTAGAACTGAACTAGAACTGAACTAGAACTGAACTAGAACTGAACTAGAACTGAACTAGAACTGAACTAGAACTGAACTAGAACTGAACTAGAACTGAACTAGAACTGAACTAGAACTGAACTAGAACTGAACTAGAACTGAACTAGAACTGAACTAGAACTGAACTAGAACTGAACTAGAACTGAACTAGAACTGAACTAGAACTGAACTAGAACTGAACTAGAACTGAACTAGAACTGAACTAGAACTGAACTAGAACTGAACTAGAACTGAACTAGAACTGAACTAGAACTGAACTAGAACTGAACTAGAACTGAACTAGAACTGAACTAGAACTGAACTAGAACTGAACTAGAACTGAACTAGAACTGAACTAGAACTGAACTAGAACTGAACTAGAACTGAACTAGAACTGAACTAGAACTGAACTAGAACTGAACTAGAACTGAACTAGAATTGAACTAGAACTGAACTAGAACTGAACTAGAACTGAACTAGAACTGAACTAGAACTGAACTAGAACTGAACTAGAACTGAATTAGAACTGAACTAGAACTGAACTAGAACTGAACTAGAACTGAACTAGAACTGAACTAGAACTGAACTAGAACTGAACTAGAACTGAACTAGAACTGAACTAGAACTGAACTAGAACTGAACTAGAACTGAACTAGAACTGAAGTAGAACTGAAGTAGAACTGAAGTAGAACTGAAGTAGAACTGAAGTAGAACTGAAGTAGAACTGAAGTAGAACTGAAGTAGAACTGAACTAGTACTGAACTAGAACTGAACTAGAACTGAACTAGTACTGAACTAGAACTGAACTAGAACTGAACTAGAACTGAACTAGAACTGAACTAGAACTGAACTAGAACTTAACTAGAACTGAACTAGAACTGAACTAGAACTGAACTAGAACTGAACTAGAACTGAACTAGAACTGAACTAGAACTGAACTAGAACTGAACTAGAACTGAACTAGAACTGAACTAGAACTGAACTAGAACTGAACTAGAACTGAACTAGAACTGAACTAGAACTGAACTAGAACTGAATTAGAACTGAACTAGAACTGAACTAGAACTGAACTAGAACTGAACTCGAACTGAACTAGAACTGAACTAGAACTCAACTAGACCTGAACTAGAACTGAACTAGAACTGATCTAGAACTGATCTAGAACTGATCTAGAACTGAACTAGAACTGAACTAGAACTGAACTAAAACTAAACTAGAACTAAACTAGACCTGAACTAAAAATAAATCATCCGCTCCTAATAGACGTTTTATATTATCTGAAACAGCGGCTTATTTAATTTCATGCGTGAGAACATCGCGACATGTAAACTAGTGGAGGGCATCAGAAGCAGTCATAAAATCTAAAGCTACAAAAGTTAGAATAATCTGTTTTTTTTAAAGAAAAAGTTACATATAAAATAACTATTCTGATTATACTTTTTGAAATTGATAATATAACTGATAAATTTGAAAAATTTTTACTAATTTCAACTAGATCTATCCACCAGATAATTTGTGTTTTCTTTACTCAAAAGAAGAAAAAGTGTTTACTTGACAATTAATTTTAATAATAAATAATAACAATAATATATATTACTATACTAACACTTATTTATGAAATAGGGGGGAGAGAGAAAAATATCTCAATATTTAGACTAAAACCTATTCTGAAGGTCAAGGTATTAGAGTGTGTGTTAAATACAACAACAATATAACTACAAACAACTACATATGTATAAAAAAAACATATAAACATATTATTTACGATATAGATAAACAACTACGTAATTGCTACACCATCCAACCATCTATCCAATAGTACAATCCATCCCCTGCATAGTGCTCTCTAACTAGCACGCATTTAAAATTATTAAACAACATGTATTTGAACACACATGGTTTAAGCCGCTATAAAATACATAGTAGTTTAATATATGTTTATTTATACATACATATATATATGTATGGAGTGTATGTATGTAGAAACTGATCGATAGATAGTTTTACTGGTTTTTGTACAAGATCAATGTTATATTTTGTCATTGTTTTAAAATAAAACGTTTAAAATTTCATTTGTTTTTTTTTATTATTCTATAATAAAACAACTTATATAAATGAAAATGGGTTTTAATATAAAATTAAATATTAATTATATTAAAATGCAGGAGATTTGTTATTGTTATCATTAGATTTTTTTAAATAATTAAAGTATTATTAATGCATCTAATCATCTTAATTGTTTTGAGGGGTATATAGTATTAGTTTAATTTTATGTGAGAAAATAAGACTAAAAGTCTTAGACTAAAGGTTTCTTAAACTACGTCTTAAGTTTTATTAAAAAAAAGCAAATTAAATATTTTGTTTATTTTAATTGATAAACAGAAATCAAAGCTACATTTTCGGTATAGTTTCCACACATCTTTAGGCCTATTTTTAACGATAACATGATCAGCTATAAAGAGCTTTCAACAACATCGAAACTATTATGAAAATCAGTCCAAAAAATCCTCTTAATTATCTTCCATCCTTATCCTAAAGTAATACGTTTAAAAACGAAAACCTCACAAAGATGAACTAATTTGTATTCTGATAAATCTACTATAGATTAGACAATATCTGCATTCAATTTACAATATAATATAAAGAAGCTGTTGGGGATCCCAGTATGTTCCAAAAACTGTAATAAGTAATGAAGTATAGTCCTTCAATATGATACCCTCAATATAAAGTGTAAAAAACATAAGCATGAGATCCTAGTATAATACAAAACCTATAACAAGTAGAAAGGTATAGTCGTTCATTCAATAAGTTGCCCTACGGCGATATAAAGTGACCTTTACAATAAAAGGATGCTTGTGTATTAGATACCTCAGTAAGTACTAAATATTGTAACAAGAAGGGAAAGTCTTTCAATATGTCACCCTACAATGATCATTTATTTAAAAGGTTTAAAATATATGGACTGACAGATGGTCTTACATTAGGGCAAATATAAATCTCTATAGGGTATAAATATGTACTGATATACCCTATACCCAGCATGAACAAAAATTAGATTTTTTAATGAAAATGCCTACAAATCGTCTTTTAAACAAACTCACCTCCAAAATTTGTAATGCCTTTTCGTGAGGATTATACATATGAATCTCCGGCATTAGTGTGGCATTTAAGGGCGCCCTTATGCCCACTAATGGCTTAAGACGATATGGACATTCACGACCTACGCCACGCACCAGCAGATGCAGTTTACCAAACGATGTGTGTATATTTAAACTAGTACTTATAGCACCTTGTTCGCGCGGTAAAAAGACTACATTAAATGTAGTATTACCATTGGGCGGCACCATTTTCGCCTCAAAAAGCTGCTGCTAAATGCTGGCGTTCTCCCCGACACCGAACTCAAGTAAACACTACGATTACGATTGTGATTGATTAGGGTAACGGTGTGTGAACGCACCGTACCCACTGACCAGGTGCCAAATCTAATTGTGGCGGTTCAAAGCGTATACTGCGATGCAGTTCAATTGACAAATCGTCACTTAATTCCGGTTCTGTTAGATCTTTGAGCGAGGCAGCTGCTTGTGTCTCTAAGTGGGCATCGTGTTGTTCTGAAACTTCATGTTCATTGGCAAACCGCACATACTAGTTGTCACTGTGGCTAAAACTAGCACCGATAACCACAGACGATGATAAGAATACATCGTTTAATAGTTAAAATTAAAAAAAAAATTGTTAACCTAATCCAAAAAGTCTCTCTACACCGCCACTTCAATGCCAACACAATGTACTCCACTATTTTCTCTTTCTTTAATTGTCTGTCTATAGGGAGCATAAAAAACTGTAGAAATTGTAGAAAATGTGTTGCGGGTTGTTTCCTTTTTTTCTTGATTTTGCTTTCCTTGATGCTGACTTGACTGCTCTGTATGTTTTCGAGTGCTGTTAGTGTGTGTTGTTGTTGTGATAATCAATGTCTGATTATTTTTATTCTTCCTTTTTTTATTGTAATTTATTTGCCTGTCCTTTTTCTCTTGTCTGCTGTTGTTTAATTTTGAATTTTACTTTTATTTTAGTAATTATCAATTGTATTTAGTTTTTTTATAACACGATCACAATATTTTATTTGCAGTTTATTTTGCATAATGTTCTGTTTTGTTTAAACAAATAATCTTTTTTTACCGTAATAATAGTAAATTTTTTACGTCTCTGTCAAAAACACTCTTTTGTCAGAGTTACCAATAGTTTCGTTTAAGCAATCAATGTCACGAAATACTCAAAATACCAAAAACAAAGTATGGTTTAATAAAACTATGATTACGTTGGCCTTCATCACAATTATGGTCAGTTTTACGTTAGTTTAGTTATTCAAAGCTTTGTTTTATTATAAATTTGTATAAATACTAAAACTAATCAAATTGTTTTTTATTTAGCAAATGCTTGTTACTGTTTAAAACCATTTTTTTAAACTTTTCATTTTACATCAACTATAACTAAGAGCATTGGCAACTCTTATTCCAATTTGACAGCTTTATATTTACAAGCTTACTCTTTCACTCTTTATATTAAGTATGCAATAGACGCACTGATGTTGTCTCATTTTAAATCCAATCAGAACTATCAGCTGACTATGTTTATATTTCTAATAATCATGTAATGTACGGCCGAATACTAGAAATACCGAATATTACAGTTTAATCACAAGAATACCCATCAAACAATTGAGTTGTACATAAACACAAAGTATTCGTTGTGACAATAATTTGCAAATCAAAGACATATGCAAGTGGAAAAGTTGTTTTTTCTTGTTAAAAGAAATATCAAAAAGAAATTAATTTAAACAAAAATAAAAAGCATATTTACTTACCAAAATGTTTAGATATATCCACTAAAACTTACAAACTGAGGCGAAATGAGATTAAACTATAAATTCGTTTGAGATGAATCAAATTTTAGACGATACCTTGAAGAAGGAACAAGATATATCAAGAGCCTAAAGCTAATAGATTGGACTTTCAGACTACATAACTTTTATAAATAAAGGGGACTTTGAACTGTCTCAAATACAGTATGTCAGAAAAACACAAAATACCCTAAAAACAGCTAGAAAACCTGAGGGGAGGAAGAAAGGCGGAGGTCAGATGGCGGTGAAGGCAGGGAGAGGAGAAAAAAGCACGGGTGTCACCAAAACGAAAAGGGGGCACGAAAAAGGACAGGGGGCAGCGAAAAGGAAAGGGGCAGGAAAAGGGCAGAGGGGCAGGAAAAGGGCAAAGGGGCGCGACAAGAGCAAAGGGCACGAAAAGGGAAAGGGGGACGAAAAGGGCAAAGGGGCACGAAAAGGGCAAAGGGGCACGAAAAGGGCAAAGGGCACGAAAAGGGCAAAGGGGCACGAAAAGGGCAAAGGGGCACGAAAAGGGGAAAGGGGCACGAAAAGGGCAAAGGGGCACGAAAAGGGCAAAGGGGCACGAAAAGGGGAACGGGCACGAAAAGGGCAAAGGGGCCACGAAAAGGGGAAAGGGGCACGAAAAGGGCAAAGGGTCCAAAAAAAAGGGGAAAGGCCACCAAAAAGGCAAAGAGGCAACAAAGAGAGCGAGCGAGCGAGCGAGCGAGCGAGCGAGAGAGCGAGCGAGCGAGCGAGCGAGCAGCGAGCGCGCAAGGAGACCAAAAGGAAAGGGGCACGAAAAGGGCAAAGGGGCACGAAAAGGGCAAAAGGCAAAGAGGGAACAAAAGCGAGAGAGGCTAGGGAGCAGAGAGTAGAGCGAGCGAGCGAGCGAGCGAGCGAGCGAGCGAGCGAGCGAGCGAGAGAGCGAGCGAGCGAGCGAGCGAGCGAGCGAGAGAGCGAGCGAGCGAGCGAGCGAGCGAGCGAGAGCGAGCGAGCGAGCGAGCGAGCGAGCGAGCGAGCGAGCGAGCGAGCGAGCGAGCGAGCGAGCGAGCGAGCGAGCGAGCGAGCGAGCGAGCGAGCGAGCGAGCGAGAGCGAGCGAGCGAGCGAGCGAGCGAGCGAGCGAGCGAGCGAGAGCGAGCGAGCGAGCGAGCGAGCGAGCGAGGAGGAGCGAGCGAGCGAGCGAGCGAGCGAGCGAGCGAGGAGCGAGCGAGCGAGCGAGCGAGCGAGCGAGCGAGCGAGCGAGCGAGCGAGCGAGCGAGCGAGCGAGCGAGCGAGCGAGCGAGCGAGCGAGCGAGCGAGCGAGCGAGCGAGCGAGCGAGCGAGCGAGAGCGAGCGAGCGAGCGAGCGAGCGAGCGAGCGAGCGAGCGAGCGAGCGAGAGCGAGCGAGCGAGCGAGAGCGAGCGAGCGAGCGAGCGAGCGAGCGAGCGAGCGAGCGAGCGAGAGAGCGAGCGAGCGAGCGAGCGAGCGAGCGAGCGAGCGAGCGCGAGAGCGAGCGAGCGAGAGCGAGCGAGCGAGCGAGCGAGCGAGCGAGCGAGCGAGCGAGCGAGCGAGCGAGCGAGCGAGCGAGCGAGCGAGCGAGCGAGCGAGCGAGCGAGCGAGCGAGCGAGCGAGCGAGCGAGCGCGAGAGCGAGCGAGCGAGCGAGCGAGCGAGCGAGCGAGCGAGCGAGCGAGCGAGCGAGCGAGCGAGCGAGCGAGCGAGCGAGCGAGCGAGGCGAGCGAGCGAGCGAGCGAGCGAGCGAGAGCGAGCGAGCGAGCGAGCGAGCGAGCGAGCGAGCGAGCGAGCGAGCGAGCGAGCGAGCGAGAGAGCGAGCGAGCGAGCGAGCGAGCGAGCGAGCGAGCGAGCGAGCGAGCGAGCGAGCGAGCGAGCGAGCGAGCGAGCGAGCGAGCGAGCGAGCGAGCGAGCGAGCGAGCGAGCGAGCGAGCGAGCGAGCGAGCGAGCGAGCGAGCGAGCAGCAGCGAGCGAGCGAGCGAGCGAGCGAGCGAGCGAGCGAGCGAGCGAGGAGCGAGCGAGCGAGCGAGCGAGCGAGCGAGCGAGCGAGCACGAGCGAGCGAGCCGAGCGAGCGAGCGAGCGAGCGAGCGAGGAGCGAGCGAGCGAGCGAGCGAGCGAGCGAGCGAGCGAGCGAGCGAGCGAGCGAGCGAGCGAGCGAGCGAGCGAGCGAGCGAGCGAGCGAGCGAGCGAGCGAGCGAGCGAGCGAGCGAGAGAGCGAGCGAGCGAGCGAGCGAGCGAGCGAGCGAGCGAGAGCGAGCGAGCGAGCGAGCGAGCGAGCGAGCGAGCGAGCGAGCGAGCAGCGAGCGAGCGAGCGAGCGAGCGAGCGAGCGAGCGAGCGAGCGAGAGAGAGCGAGCGAGCGAGGAGCGAGCGAGCGAGCGAGCGAGAGAGAGCGAGCGAGCGAGCGAGCGAGCGAGCGAGCGAGCGAGCGAGCGAGAGAGCGAGCGAGCGAGCGAGCCGAGCGAGAGCGAGCGAGCGAGCGCGAGCGAGCGAGCGAGCGAGCGAGCGAGCGAGCGAGCGAGCGAGCGAGCGAGAGCGAGCGAGCGAGCGAGCGAGCGAGCGAGCGAGCGAGCGAGCGAGCGAGCGAGCGAGCGAGCGAGCGAGCGAGCGAGCGAGCGAGCGAGCGAGCGAGCGAGCGAGCGAGCGAGCGAGAGAGCGAGCGAGCGAGCGAGCGAGCGAGCGAGCGAGCGAGCGAGAGCGAGCGAGCGAGCGAGCGAGCGAGCGAGCGAGCGAGCGAGCGAGCGAGCGAGCGAGCGAGCGAGAGAGAGAGCGAGCGAGCGAGCGAGCGAGCGAGCGAGCGAGCGAGCGAGCGAGAGCGAGCGAGCGAGCGAGCGAGCAGCGAGCGAGAGCGAGCGAGCGAGCGAGCGAGCGAGCGAGCGAGCAGCGAGCGAGAGAGCGAGAGAGCGAGCGAGCGAGCGAGCGAGGAGCGAGCGAGCGAGCGAGAGAGCGAGCGAGCGAGCGAGCGAGCGAGGAGCGAGCGAGCGAGCGAGCGAGCGAGCGAGAGCGAGCGAGCGAGCAGAGCGAGCGAGCGAGAGAGCGAGAGCGAGCGAGCGAGCGAGCGAGCGAGCGAGGAGCGAGAGCGAGCGAGAGAGCGAGCAGAGCGAGCGCGAGCGAGAGAGAGCGAGCGAGCGAGCGAGCGAGCGAAGCGAGCGAGCGAGCGAGCGAGCGAGCGAGCGAGCGAGCGAGCGAGCGAGCGAGCGAGCGAGCGAGCGAGAGAGCGAGCGAGCGAGCGAGCGAGCGAGCGAGCATCGAGCGAGCGTAGAGCGAGCGAGCGAGCTATCTAGCTATCGAGCTAGCGATCGAGCGAGCGAGCGATCTATCTATCTATCTATCTATCCCCATTTGTTTGTTGCAATATCTTCTGCAAGAGCATGTCTGTTTGGTAATTCAATCAATTCTGCAATAAACATTTATTTTTACGTAATATATTTATTTTCCTTTGAAATTGTATATAATTTTTTTGAATGATTAATTTAATTATAATTTTATTACTCCAAACATACATACATAGTTGCTTTTACATATATTTTTTTTAAGTTACTATGTTTTTAAATATAATAATGACATTGTGCATGGTAATATTTTCTATCCAAAACAACAATTTAACTAATTTCAAACATTTTTGAGTGCACTTTCAATGAAAATAGTGTAATTTCTTTATTTTATATAGAACATTTAATATATATATATTTTTTTTAATTATAAGCATTATAGAATGTTAAATAAAAATTACACATTTTAATTGTGTAATAATGTTCATTTTACAAATTAAGTATCAAAATGAAAAAAGGAAAATAACAAATTATTTAAATAATAATTAAATGAAATAATAAATGCCTTTTAAAGTGTAAAAAATGTAATAAAAATAAAATAGAATAGATTAATAACTTCTTAAAGGGAAATGAATTTGACAAAGAAGAGAGGAAATAAAAGGAATGAAAAAAGTAATGAACAAAAGAACATAAACGTAATATCAATGAGAAAGGTAGATAAACTAATTTATTTATTTTGCCTGTGATGTTTGATGTTTTATTTTTTTAAGCCTTAAGAAACATGAGCCTTTCTTCACACATACAGCAGGATGATTAAAGACTGAACTGTAGCTAAATTTTTAAATGGGTTTTTATTTAATTAAATTGCTCTGGCATGACATAGGAAATATCATCCCAAGGATGACGGTAAAGACCCTGTTTCAAACGTTTCTGATCCATATAATGACCAATGAAACCTATGCTACGACCCAATACAAAGAGTGAGTTGATGGCGCCAATGTTAATGTATTCCTGAGCTCCTCACTGGAATGAAAACAAAGTTCACATTAAGTTATTTCGAATATTAATACTTATGCGTTAAACAACTCACCTTGTAATGAACCACAATTACGTAACATATCCACAAAACAAGTGGCTATAACACCATCGACGTTCAAAATCAAATTTGGCTTTTTACTGGTTGTAATCTTTTCTACTTCTAAAGCGTATTTGAGCAATGGGCAAGCTGGGAAATTTTGCAAAACGAATTCCTTGATAATTTTAACACGCACATCGGGATTATTGATGGATTTGACACGATGACCAATACCCATAATTAATTGGCCATTTTTACGCATTTGATTAACAAATTCCATGGGATGTAAATTCGAGTCATAGGCTTCGGAGAATGGCGAGCAGCGCCATCTAAAGCACCACCAAAACGATCACCCTACAAATAAATTACTCCCAAGTTTAATTTTTATATTTTTCCTTAAGTTTAATTATTACTTACAATTGTTAGCAGACCACTGACAACAGATGATACCAAATCTTTGCCGGCACGTGCACAGACAATGGTATTGTGGGCACCCGATACAGCTGGACCATGATCGGCTGTTACCATTAGGCACATTTCAAAGAACTTGCATACATAAGGAGGTAAACAGCGTTGGAACCACAACAATGAAATTACACCACCAATACCAACATCCTTGTTGAGCACTTCACTGATGGGCATACCAGCATAAATCAATTCTTGACCTCTTTCGTCACAATTGAGGTCATGAAAGAGGCGGGCTTACGGATGAGACCCAATTCACGGGCCCAGGCATAGTCCATGGGTACAGTTGGTGGAGGTACTTCTTCGCGTGGCACTATACGACCAGACTTAACTAGTTCAGCATAAACTTGTTGCACCAAATCACCCAATGAATCAAATGAATCGGGCACATAGGCGCCAGCTTCACGTAAAGCCTTATTTTTAGCCGAAGCTGTTTCCTTATCCGAATTGGCGCATGAACCAGCATGGCCAAATTGTACTTCAGAGGTAAACATACTGGCACAGGTACCTATACACCAAGCTACCAAAGGTTTTGTGATGCGACCGTCTTTGAGAGCTGCACACACTTCGTACTCTTCGGTGCCACCAACTTCACCCAAAAGCACAATAAGCTTGGCCTCGGGATCTGCCTGGTAACGCAAAATATGATCCATAAATGTGGTGCCAGGATAACGATCACCACCAATGGCAACAACCCTCTAAAACACCATCAGTTTGCCTCGAGATAATGTTGTTCAATTCATTGGACATACCACCGGATCTGGAGACATAAGCCACACTGCCTGGCCTATATAACTTGGAATGTAGGATATTATCCAACATACCACCAGTGTTGCCAATTTTGAAGCAACCTGGCTTAACGCCACCCACTGTAGCGGGTCCAATAATGGCTACACCATTCTTATTGGCAGCCACAATCATTTTGCGTGTCATATTTTCGGGGATACCTTCGGCAATAATGGCCACAGTACGTATTTGTGGATAATCCAAAACTTCCATGGTCGATTCGTAAGCGGAACGCAAAGAAGCAAAAATTTACCATGACATCAACGTCTTTGTGTTTATTAATGGCATCGGACATTTTCTTGTAGGACAGGAATAAGGATTTCTTTGGACCCCAGTAGAATTTGCTGCTTGTGACACCGGTGAAGGGATAGACCAGGGCAACAACGGAGGTGGCTGGCACGGCTAGGGAAAACATACGAAAGAGGAAGGAAAAAGAAAGAGGAGAAGGAGGAGCGAGGAGCGAGCGAGCAGCGAGCGAGCGAGGCGAGCGAGCGAGCGAGCGAGCGAGCTAGCGAGCGAGCGAGCGAGCGAGCAGCGAGCGATCGAGCGAGCGAGCGCGAGCGAGCGGCTAGCGAGCGAGCGAGCGAGCGAGCGAGCGAGCGAGCGAGCGAGCGAGCGAGCGAGCGAGCGAGCGACTCGAGCGAGCGACCGAGCTAGGACTAGCGAGCGAGCGAGCGAGAGCGAGCGAGCGAGCAGCGAGGCGAGCGAGCGTAGCGAGCGAGCGAGCGAGCTAGCGAGCGAGCGAGCGAGCGAGCGAGCGAGCGAGCGAGCGAGCGAGCGAGCGAGAGAGCGAGCGAGCGAGCGAGCGAGCGAGCGAGCGAGCGCGGAGCGAGCGAGCGAGCTAGCTCCCCCCCCCCCCCGGCCAGCAGAGGCGAGCGAGCGAGCGAGCGAGCGAGCCGAGCGAGCGAGCGAGCGAGCGAGCGAGCGAGGCGAGTCGAGCGAGCAGCGAGCGAGGCGAGCGAGCGGAGCGAGCGAGGCGAGCGAGGATGAGGCTGAGCGAGCGAGCGAGCGAAGCGAGCGAGGAGCGAGAGCGAGCGAGCGAGCGGAGCGAGCGAGCGAGCGCGCGATCGAGGCGATCGAGCGAGCGACGAGCAGGAGCGAGCTAGCGATCGAGAGCGAGGATCGAGCGAAGCAGAGCGAGCTAAGCTGAGGAGGTAGCTAGCGATGCGAGCGAGCGAGCAGCAGCGAGCAGCGAGCGAGCGAGCTGAGCGAGCGAGCGAGCGACAGCGAGCGAGCGAGCGAGCTAGAGCTATTTCGATCTAGCTATCGATCTATCTATCTATCTATCTATCGAGCTGCTATCTATCGATCTATCTATCTAGTCTATCTATCTATCTATATCTATCTATCTATCTAGCTATCTATCTATCTATCAATCTCATCTCATCTCATCTAGTCCTTAGATAAGTCAATAGTCTAGTCCACAGATAAATCAATATTCTAGTCCATAGAAAAGTTAATAGTCTAGTCCATAGATAAGTCAACAGTCTAGTCCATAGATAAGTCAATAGTCTAGTCCATAGATATATAAGTCAATAGTCTAGTCCATAGACAAGTCTAGTACATAGATATGTCAATAGTCTAGTCCATAGGTTAATCAATAGTCCAGTCCATAGACTAGTCAATAGGACTAGACTGACTAGTCAATAGGACTAGATTAATCCATAAACTAGTAAATATACTGTCTATAAACAAGACAATTGTCTAGTCCATACTATAGTCCATACACTAGTCAATAACTTGTTCCAAAAATAGTCAATAGACTAATTCATAGACTAGTCCATAGATTAGTCAATATACTAGTCCATAGAACGATTTTAACGATATCGAAACGAAACTTTCTGCTTTACTTACGTGCAAATAAAATCAAAGTCCAACATAGATTGTACAGCTCTCTGTTGCATGCCCCAAACGATGGCTTTAGTTTGTTTGGTAAAAAATTTACGAGTTGTTGCATTGACCACACTATCAAGCACATCGTTGGTTTTAACATTATCTGCCGAGATAGGTGGTAGTTTAATCGATTGTTGTGGTGAGCCTAAACCTTTTGTTTTTTGTTGTTTTTGATAGTTTTATATGTTGTGATTTTGATTTTTTTTTTTTTTTTGGTTTGTGATTTTACCACACACAAATGATAACAAAAATTTTGGTTTGGTTTTGATTTGAATTTTGTAATTTTTGATTAATTTGCAGGCAATAGGAGACGGACGACACAACAAATCAGTTTACGTTTACGTAGGAGAGACATGGATATGGTAACAATTCAATTCAATCAATCAGTTAAAACACGTTAAGAGGGAACATAATGGATAAAGAGGTACCAAATTGTTTGTTTAAATTATCAAGGAGCAATACACAACAATGGTACAAAAGACGCACACACATAGACATAGACACATACGATACATGGAATAGCAGGCAGTTGAGGATGATAGCAGTAGGTGTTTTTTTGATAGATATCGGTGAAAAAATGGTGATAGTAGTGGTGTAGTTGAAGAAAGCAAAACAATACAAATGTGACAATTACAATTATAGCGAAAGGGATTTAAAAAAATTTGGTGTTTAAATGATAAGTGGTGGATTTGGTATGTTAGTAAATGAATTCATAATTTTAACGCAAATTGTTAGTGTTATAAAATAATAAATAGGTTTTCAATTACATTAAACAAGAGGATATTTTTTTTTCGTTAAATCCAAAATAAAACAATCGAAATAGACGAAAGAGATTGAAATATCTGTTTAATTTGATTGTCAAAATGAGAAGAGTATTTTTTTAATGATTTTAATAGAAAGAAACGGGGAAAGGAGTTTATAGTTTTGTGCAAATTTGTTAATATTTTATTATCTATCTGTGTATCTATCTATCTATCTATCTATCTATCTATCTATCTATCTATCTATCTATTTATCTATCTATCTATCTATCTATCTATCTATCTATCTATCTATCTATCTATCTATCTATCTATCTATCTATCTATCTATCTATCTATCTATCTATCTATCTATCTATCTATCTATCTATCTATCTATCTATCTATCTATCTATCTATCTATCTATCTATCTATCTATCTATCTATCTATCTATCTATCTATCTATCTATCTATCTATCTATCTATCTATCTATCTATCTATCTATCTATCTATCTACCTATCTATCTATCTATCTATCTATCTATCTATCTATCTATCTATCTATCTATCTATCTATCTATGTATCTATCTATGTATCTATCTATGTATCTATCTATGTATCTATGTATCTATCTATCTATCTATCTATCTATCTATCTATCTATCTATCTATTCTATCTATCTATCTATCTATCTATCTATCTATCCTATCTATCTATCTATCCTATCTATCTATCTATCTATCTATCTATCTATCTATCTATCTATCTATCTATCTATCTATCTATCGATCTATCTATCTATCTATCTATCTATCTATCTATCTATCTATCTATCTATCTATCTATCTATCTATCTATCGATCTATCTATCTATCTATCTATCTATCTATCTATCTATCTATCTATCTATCTATCTATCTATCTATCTATCTATCTATCTATCTATCTATCTATCTTATCTATCTATCTATCTATCTATCTATCTATCTATCTATCTATCTATCTATCTATCTATCTAATCTATCTATCTATCTACTAAAAGAACATTTTTTTATTTTTATTGAAAATTTACTTTTTCAATAAAAATATCAAACTTTCACCAACATTAAAATTTTTACTAAAAATTCAGACTTATACTAAAAAATTCTATTTTCACCAAAAATAACATTTTTCACCTCAACTTCAAATTTTCAACAAAAATTAATTTTTCAAAATGCGAAATTTTTTAAATTAACTATAAAATCCTTTTCCCATTTTCAGCATATAAATGAATAAATTTGTATAGAAAAAGTAATCGAAAAAATAAGTATTTCAAAATATTTCCATAAAACTTACCATTATTACCAGTATCTCCAGTTAAGGTTCTCAATTCTGGTTGAGCATTTTGTCCACCGGGCAATAAAAAGTTGGCAGTGGAAAATTCAGCACTGGTTGTTTGTGGTATGGGGCGTTTACCCAATGCCATGCCGCAAATAGCAGTCATATGTGTTTCGGGACCGAAAACATGTAGGGGAACACCCAATGAACTGCCAAATTCGCGCATCTTGCGTAAACCCTCCTGGTAATTAGGTCCAGCACGACGCACAAAAATGGAAACATTGTGTTCAACCAATTTGGTTGGAATTCCCGCAAGGCAGTAATAATGCCTCGGAAAGTGGCTGCGACATTGGTAAAGTTAGCAATACCACCACCAGTAATTAAAATTTTGCCATCGGGATGTTTGGGCGAAGAGGTCATAAGATTCAAAATAGTTTTAGCATATTCATAGGTTTGCTGTTCAGAGGGTGCACCACTGTATTCGCCATAGTTGGCCAATTCCGAAGCACCACCCAAATCGCATATAGTATCGGAATAAATTACACTAGCACCGCCACCAGCAACCATAGTCCAAATTCTACCATTTCTATTAAGTATAGTTAGCTACAAAACAAACAAATAATTAAATATAAAAAACTGGTTTTCCTTTTTTAACTCACCTTCAAAGAAGCCCCACTCTTGGCATCCAAGTCAGCAATATAAGCTTCTTCAGGATAAGCATCACGTCCAAAGGGTGGTGGGTAATCAATATCACCCCATCTGGGACGGCATATAAAATCGGCGGTTGAGTCCAGCTTAGCCGCCAAATCTAATATATACATACTGTCGTCTGTCACCACCAAAGGATTGATTTCCAAATAAGTAAAATATAAATCGGCAAAAGTTTTATACAAAGCAAAAATAAATTTGGCAATGCGTTCTTTTTGCCAGCTGGTACTTCAGTTAAGAGCTTAGCATTAATATCTTCCATAGTGACCTCACTATTAACGGGTATATCCAACTTTAAAGCCTTGGCATCTACATCACCAATATCAACACCACCTTGATGATAGAAGAGAATGGTATCGGCTGAACGATGAGAATAAATACAAACGTACATTTCTTCGGCCTAGAAATGGAGAGAATTATATCATATAGAAAGTTACATTGCTTTTTGCCGTTAATCTAAGTATTTCAACTTACATCTGTATGTGGTACAAAGGGTTCAATAATAAAGTTTCTTAGTTTTCCCACAGCATTGCCAATAGCTTGATCTTTGTTCATGCGTTCGCCAATCCATTGTTGTACTTCTTGGAAGTTCTTTTTAACACCAATCAAACCTAATTTACCACGTCTTTTTATGAGTTGATCAGGTTTTACTACCAAAGGCTGTAAGGATTCAGAAAAAATATAAATTTAGATTTATTTAAGGCAAATTTTTCTAAAATTTTTTAATTTCGAACTTTAAAAATTTTTTTAAAATTTAAAAAAAATAATCTTCAAATCTTCATAAATTTTAAAGTGTTTTAAATATGTTCGTTTCCTATTCTAAAATCATTCAGTAACATAAATAACAAAAGGTTTTTGAACTAATACTCTATATAGAATATTCTGAAAATATTTATTTTTAAATATGCTATTTATTTTAACATATGCTAGTCTACCAACTGTATATGGCCCTATGGGCTCGGTTGGTTTTTCGTAAATAAATAAAATAAATATTTAAAATAAATATGCTAAAACAACCTTTATTATGGGACAATGACAGATTTGCATGTGTGTAAATTGTATAGAAAAAAATCAATATTTGCCCTTTACTGAACCTTTGCTTTTTCAAAAATATACAATTTTAAATAAAATATTTATTTAATAAAAAACAAATAGATCTATTAGCGATTAAAGCTATTTCATTAAGAAATTATTCAAATATTTTTGAAAAGGCATAGAAACGTCAGCATTTTCTTTGCAAATTGCGGAAAAGCAAAAAATAATTAAAATTTTTTACAACAACAGTAATTATAATAGAAATATTTTCAATATAATATCGGTCACATTAATAAGGTGCTGACAATACAATTCATGTAAAATACAACATAAATAAATGAGAAATTTCAGGCGAAATTTTTAGAAGGCGATATACGAACTAAAACTTCAACGATGTTAAACTAAAACTAAAAACAATTTGTTTTTATTACTGAACTGCCAAAATCTGTCTTTTGCATGGAGGTCTTAAAGAACAAATGTTATTATTCAAAGTGTTATAGGTTACCTTAGTATTGAACAATACTGTATAATGAACTAAAACTAAAAACTGAACTAGAACTGAACTAGAACTGAGATAGAACTGAGATAGAACTGAACTAGAACTGAACTAGAACTGAACTAGAACTGAACTAGAACTGAACTAGAACTGAACTAGAACTGAACTAGAACTAGAACTAGAACTGAACTAGAACTAAACTAGAACTGAACTAGAACTGAACTAGAACTGAACTAGAACTGAACTAGAACTGAACTAGAACTGAACTAGAACTGAACTAGAACTGAACTAGAACTGAACTAGAACTGACTAGAACTGAACTAGAACTGAACTAGAACTGAACTAGAATTGAACTAGAACTAGAACTGAACTAGAACTGAACTAGAACTGAACTAGCACTGAACTAGAACTGAACTAGAACTGAACTAGAACTGCCACTAGAACTGAACTATAACTGAACTAGAACGGAACTAGAAACTGAACTAGAACTGAACTAGAACTGAACTAGAACTGAACTAGAACTGAACTAGAACTGAACTAGAACTGAACTAGAACTGAACTAGAACTGAACTAGAACTGAACTAGAACTGAACTAGAACTGAACTAGAACTGAACTAGAACTGAACTAGAACTGAACTAGAACTGAACTAGAACTGAACTAGAACGAACTAGAAAAACTGAAACTAAAACTGAACTAGAACTGAACTAGAACTGAACTATAACGAACTGAACGACTAGAACTGAACTAGAACTGAACTAGAACTGAACTAGAACTGAACTAGAACTGAAACTAGAACTGAACTATAACGAACTAGACTGAACTAGAACTGAACTAATAACTGAAACTAGAACTGAACTAGAACTGAACTAGAACTGAACTAGAACTAAACTAGAACTGAACTAGAACTGAACTAGAACTGAACTAGAACTGAACTAGAACGGAACTAGAACTGAACTAGAACTCACTACAACTCAACTAGAACTCAACTAGAATGAACTAGAACTGAACTAGAACTGAACTAGAACTGAACTAGAACTGAACTAGAACTCAACTAGAACTCAACTAGAATTGAACTAACTAGAACTGAACTAGAACTGAACTAGAACTGAACTAGAACTGAACTAGAACTGACTAGAACTGAACTAGAACTGAACTAGAACTGAACTAGAACTGAACTAGAACTGAACTAGAACTGAACTAGAACTGAACTAGAACTGAACTAGAACTGAACTAGAACTGAACTAGAACTGAACTAGAACTGAACTAGAACTGAACTAGAACTGAACTAGACTGAACTAGAACTGAACTAGAACTGAACTAGAACTGAACTAGAACTGAACTAGAACTGAACTAGAACTGAAACTAGAACTGAACTAGAACTTAACTAGAACTGAACTAGAACTGAACTAGAACTGAAGTAGAACTGAAACAAGAACATAACTAGAAATAAACAAGAACTGAACTACAACTGACCCTTGAACTGAACTAGAACTAAACTAGAACATAACTAGAAACTAAACGTGAAGGGAACAAATGTCATCATGCAAAGTCCTAAAGGTTGCTTTAGTTTTGAACACTACTGCATACTTAACTTTTAATTGTTCAAATCATTTTAGAAAACTTTCTTAGACAAATGAGAATTCACGAAAAGGTAAAATTTTGTTAAGCAAACATAATGGATACATAACTGAATTCATTTTTAACACAACTTAAGCGTTTATGGCCTATAACCACAGGCATACATTAATAATAATTGAGCACTCATTATTTTGACATAGATGCCCCTTTAAAAACATCAGAAAGAAATCTTTATATTAAATATCAGCACATATTGATAAGAAAACAAACAAAATTGCACGATTTTTTTTAAACGTTGTTGACATAGCAATAATCAAAATGTTTTATGGGTTGGAATGCTAACACAATGAAGTATTATCATCTGTCGCTAAATGATTATGTATGAAAAGCTATAAAAACCATTAGATTAAGTCAGTTGCTCAGTCCATGGTGGTCGACAATACATAGACATAGACAATAATAATAAAAAATATTAAATAGCCGATAGTAACTCAAAAAATAACAACAACAGGTTGTTGTTTCTTTTTTTGCAATTGTTTATTTTTCAACAACAATAGCAATAATATACATAAATCTTATGTTGTTGAAAATTAAAAAAAAAAAAAACTTTAGTAGAACCTTAGTCAATATTAAAAAACAAAATTTAATCATAAATATAAAACTTTATAATAAAAATCATTTTATTACGGCGTGTTATGGTGTGTTTTGCCCATGTTTGGCGTATGGCGTGTCGTACTTTTTTTCTACATAAATACCTTTCAATATGTACCAATACTAACATAACTAGAGATAAGATTTCTTTACTGGTTAATTCTAAACAATATTCCCAGATGTTGTTCACGAACTACTGCACTTCACCTTGACACTTTGTTATTTGTTATAGTTTTTTATATGTATGTATATGTAAATATGTATAAACTTTCTAAAACAATTTAAAATCAATAATGTAATCTGATAAACAATAGCAATGACCGAGTGGAGGGATATTATTTTAAATACATATTAAGAATAGTAAATTTTAGTTTATCTTCATAACTTTTAGTCTTTTCAAGACATGTTCAATACTATGATCGATTTGTAGACAAATTCTCGAGTGTTTTGTATTAGTATTTTCATTAGAAAATAATAAAAATAAATATTCGTATATTTTTCGCAGGAAATCCAAATGCTTAGATATTGTCAACAATATAAACTGTTTATTATCAAATTTGATATAAAAATGGTCATAATAATCAAAGTGAATGATTCAGATAGCTATATTTTTATCAGTTTATAGTAGTTATTGAAATTTGAAAACAATAAGATTAAATATTTCTAAAATAACTGGACTGAACTAGAACTGACCTATAAATAAACTCGAACTGAACTTGAACTAGAACTGGAAAATAATTGTACTAGAACTGAATTAGAACTGAACTAGAACTGAATTAGAACTGACTAGAACTAGAAATGAACTAGAACTGAACTAGAACTGAACTAGAACTGAACTAGAACTGAACTAGAACTGAACTAGAACTGAACTAGAACTGAACTAGAACTGAACTAGAACTGAACTAGAACTGAACTAGAACTGAACTAGAACTGAACTAGAACTGAACTAGAACTGAACTAGAACTGAACTAGAACTGAACTAGAACTGAACTAGAACTGAACTAGAACTGAACTAGAACTGAACTAGAACTGAACTAGAACTGAACTAGAACTGAATCTAGAACTGAACTAGAACTGAACTAGAACTGAACTAGAACTGAACTAGAACTGAACTAGAACTGAACTAGAACTGAACTAGAACTGAACTAGAACTGAACTAGAACTGAACTAGAACTGAACTAGAACTGAACTAGAACTGAACTAGAACTGAACTAGAACTGAACTAGAACTGAACTAGAACTGAACTAGAACTGAACTAGAACTGAACTAGAACTGAACTAGAACTGAACTAGAACTGAACTAGAACTGAACTAGAACTGAACTAGAACTGAACTAGAACTGAACTAGAACTGAACTAGAACTGAACTAGAACTGAACTAGAACTGAACTAGAACTGAACTAGAACTGAACTAGAACTGAAGTAGAAATGAAGTAGAACTGAACTAGAACTGAACTAGAACTGAACTAGAACTGAACTAGAACTGAACTAGAACTGAACTAGAACTGAACTAGAACTGAACTAGAACTGAACTAGAACTGAAGTAGAAATGAAGTAGAACTGAAAGTAGAACTGAACGAGAACTGAACGAGAACTGAACTAGAACTGAACTAGAACTGAACTAGAACTGAACTAGAACTGAACTAGAACTGAACTAGAACTGAACTAGAACTGAACTAGAACTGAACGAGAACTGAACTAGAACTGAACTAGAACTGAACTAGAACTGAACTAGAACTGAACTAGAACTGAACTAGAACTGAACTAGAACTGAACTAGAACTGAACTAGAGAACTAGAACTGACTAGAACTGAACTAGAACTGAACTAGAACTGAACTAGAACTGAACTAGAACTGAACTAGAACTGAACTAGAACTGAACTAGAACTGAACTAGAACTGAACTAGAACTGAACTAGAACTGAACTAGAACTGAACTAGAACTGAACTAGAACTGAACTAGAACTGAACTAGAACTGAACTAGAACTGAACTAGAACTGAACTAGAACTGAACTAGAACTGATCTAGAACTGAATAAAACGAAACTAGAACTAAAATTCAAATTAAATAAAAAGCCTAAAGCTTACCACAGCTTGTAATCAATTTTTCTTTAAATAATATTATTATTAAAAATTTTAAATATTTATGCTAATTTGTCTTTAAGAAATTTATTAAATTTTCACACTAGAAAAAATGCTTGGAATTTTAAAATAATTATACATAAATTATACAAAAATTTGACGACATAATACGATTGCATAAAAAATTTAACAAGTTTATTATTTATAGCGCTAAAATACTCGGAAACAGTGTAAAATATTAACGACATTTTTTTTTTTTTTAATTTGCTAGAGAGGTCTATTAGTGTCATTAACACACAATTTAATTTTATTTAAAGCAAAAAAGAAATGAATAGAAATAATAAAACAGAAACAGAAAAAAACTAAAAGTATTAACTAAGCCAAACTAAAAGTCAAGTTCAATGTGAAATAAAATAGTTCAATGCAAAGTTATACTATGGTTCAATGTATGAATTTTATGAAATTTATAAAACTAACAATTAAAAACTCTTACCGTATTCAAAAGCCAGGGTTGTTCAACAGCCAATTGGGACCAATCGGTTTTCATGTTAACTGTGGCAAAACGGCATGTTTGTACTCCAGCGCCGTTATCGTTTAAATGACGATTTAAAATATCCTTGCCGGTGGCTTCAGTAATAGCCTTTGCTGACATTTTCTTTTTTTAACAAAGTTTTTCAACGAATAATAAACAAGTTTAGTAGTTAATAAATAATGGTTGAGTTTAAACTGCAATGAAAAATATAAAAATGGTTTATAAACAAAAGAAATTAATGAATTTGAAATTCAATACTAAAGTTTTATATAAAAATATTTATTAATCAATATAGCAACGGTAAAAATTTCTCTTCTTTCTTTATTTTCTGTTTGTTTTTTAATTTATGGTTGATTTCTTTTCAAAATGTGTAGACACAACATCAAAAAGGTATTCAAAAGTAAACAGTAAAATATATTAAAACAAAATCTACAACAATATACTAAAAATTTCCCCAAAATGTAAGTCTGTCTGTCTGTTACTACACACAAACCTGTGGAAACACATAAATGAATAAAAAATCCACTCACTAGCTTTTATATAAATGAAGATTATCGAAGCAAGTTCCTCTTTATGGAATATTTGGAAAAAGCTTTTTAAAAACCGCAATCAAAAAGTAAGAAAAAAATGTACAAAGTTTAAAATTTCTTTAATTTTTTTATATTATATTGGTATTTTTTTAAAACCAAAGTTCGCACACTTTTGAACACGTATGAAACGTTTTAAACACAACCGATTGATCGTTGGTGTTTACTTAGCAGGTGATTTTTCGATCTACACCTTAGACGAGTTAAATGAAAACTGAATGCTTTTGTATAGTATTTACAAACGCATTGTTGTCGTTGAAATAAATAATAAAAGAGGGAATAAAACGACAAACTCCGACAGAGATTTCTGGATGATATTACGTTGTTCATATTGGTGTGAATGGGAGTGTGTGTATGTATTTTGTTTTCTCTTTAAGGCCCGATGTTTTCCGTGTATTTAAATCTGAGACTGGTTTATAATTTACTTATATTCATTAATTTAATATTTCAGGTTGCCAGATGAGTAATAATGAAGACTTCAGTTACAAAGTTTAAAATTAATACTTTAGTTCTAGAACTGAACTGGAACTGAACTAGAACTGAACTAGAAGTGAACTAGAACTGAACTAGAACTGAACTGGAACTGAACTAGAACTGAACTAGAACTGAACTACTAGAACTGAACTAGAACTGAACTAGAACTGAACTAGAACTGAACTAGAACTGAACTAGAACTGAACTGGAACTGAACTAGAACGTAACTAGAACGTAACTAGAACTGAACTAGAACTGAACTAGAACTGAACTAGAACTGAACTAGAACTGAACTAGAACTGAACTAGAACTGAACTAGAACTGAACTAGAACTGAACTAGAACTAGAACTGAACTAGAACTGAACTAGAACTGAACTAGAACTGAACTAGAACTGAACTAGAACTGAACTAGAACTGAACTAGAACTGAACTAGAACTGAACTAGAACTGAACTAGAACTGAACTAGAACTGAACTAGAACTGAACTAGAACTGAACTAGAACTGAACTAGAACTAGAACTAGAACTGAACTAGAACTGAAATAGAACTGAACTAGAACTGAACTAGAACTGAACTAGAACTGAAACTAGAACTGAACTAGAACTGAACTAGAACTGAACTAGAACTGAACTAGAACTGAACTAGAACTGAACTAGAACTGACTAGAACTGAACTAGAACTGAACTAGAACTGAACTAGAACTGAACTAGAACTGAACTAGAACTGAACTAGAACTGAACTAGAACTGAACTAGAACTGAACTAGAACTGAACTAGAACTGAACTAGAACTGAACTAGAACTGACTAGAACTGAACTAGAACTGAACTAGAACTGAACTAGAACTGAACTAGAACTGAACTAGAACTGAACTGGAACTGAACTAGAACTGAACTAGAACTGAACTAGAACTGAACTAGAACTGAACTAGAACTGAACTAGCACTGAACTAGAACTGAACTAGAATCTAAACAAGTGAAATTTAATGTTTAAGAAAATTATAAATCTTTGGATATTTTGATTTTTTGAAAATTCTAATTTTTTTAATTTATAAAAATCTTTAATTTTGATTAATATTTTAAATTTTCTAAAAGTTTAAAAATTTTATTTTCAAAGTAGTGATAATGTAGTTCCATTGGAAGTAGGTTCTTATTGTTATTTTTCTGGGCATATCAAAATCTAGAGATTATTTCAAAAGTTTTAAAAATTTAACCAAAGAAAAATAAACCCAAAAATATATAAATCTGGCAACAATTTTGATATGGATTTTTAAAAAATTTTTTATTACTCTTTTAATTGCCACTTATATTATAGTCGTACGATTTTTATTATTTAAACAAACACACGATATATGGAATAGAGTATTAAGTAAAATGCCTTGTAAAGTGATCAGTTATTTAATCCACTCTCTCACTCTCCCTACAATGCTCTATATGTCGATCTATACATTAATATTATGCATTTTCTGTTAATTTTTTTTAGGAAAACAAGTTATTAGGTACACAAAGTAGCTCTCAAAATTTGTTTAAAATAAAAATTGTTTACTTTTCATTTCTCACTTACAACTAAACTAAATTATACACAATTATTGTATTGGTAATTAGTAAATTGGAGGCAAATTAAAAAAAAAAATAATAAATGAACCAATAGTGTTGCCGGTTCCATCGGATGATGTTGCCTTGTAGTATTTTGTGGAAATACAAAAAAACAAGCCGGTGAAATTGTTGATTTCTTTCATAATATTTTACTAAGCACATTGTAAGTTTATGCACAAGTATATGTGCGGATCGCCGTCATATTTATGATTAATATATAGGTACGAGAGAGATTAATGTTATACGAATTATCGAAAGCAATGTTCGTGTTTCTACTCTGTATATGTAGTTGAATACGTTTAGCATTTTTGTTTACTTTTTGTAATGCAAATATTTGTTTAACCTATTATCATATGATGTATTTCATGATTATTTCATGTAGTGTGAATGGATGTTGTCATCTTATCAATTTTGTTTTTTCCTAAATTACCTTATTAACAGGTATTAATAATCGTATGATATTTTGTAAGATTTACAGTTTACTTTTTTATAGATTGAGAGAGAGAGTTAAAGTTAAATATTTTTCTTCATAACTATGTATATCAGTCCAAATAGAAATATTAAATCTATGAAACATTGTTAACAAATAATCTGTAGAGATCTTTATCCGCAGATTGAGACTTTGAATGTCAAAAAAAGCAGTGGGTAGATCAATAGCTACTATTGCGCCACCAGTCATTTGTTACTTTATCCATAGAATACTAAAGTACGAAATTACTACATAGGTATATATAATTTCTTTAGCCCAGCTGATCATTCTTTATAGCTATTATATATAGAATGTCAAACTCCATAAAAAATTGAGATTTCGGATGCATATTCCTGAAACATGTGTCATAGACTAGTCAATAATGTATTTCATATTCAAAAGACTAGTCCATAGACTTTTCAATAGTTCTACTTCGGCTCTAGTTCAGTTCAAGTACAGTTCTAGTTTAGTTCTAGTTAGTTCTAGTTCAGTTCTAGTTCAGTTCTAGTTCAGTTCTAGTTCAGTTCTAGTTCAGTTCTAGTTCAGTTCTAGTTCAGTTCTAGTTCAGTTCTAGTTCAGTTATAGTTCAGTTCTAGTTCAACTCTAGTTCAGTTCTAGTTCTAGTTCAGTTCTAGTTCAGTTCTAGTTCAGTTCTAGTTCAGTTCTAGTTCAGTTCTAGTTCAGTTCTAGTTCAGTTCTAGTTCAGTTCTAGTTCAGTTCTAGGTCAGTTCTAGTTCAGTTCTAGTTCAGTTCTACTTCAGTTCTACTTCAGTTCTAGTTCAGTTCTAGTTCAGTTCTAGTTCAGTTTTAGTTCAGTTCTAGTTCAGTTCTAGGTCAGTACTAGTTCAGTTCTAGTTCAGTTCTAGTTCAGTTCTAGTTCAGTTCTAGGTCAGTTCTAGTTCAGTTCTAGTTCAGTTCTAGTTCAGTTCTAGTTCAGTTCTAGTTCAGTTCTAGTTCAGTTCTAGTTCAGTTCTAGTTCAGTTCTAGTTCAGTTCTAGTTCAGTTCTAGTTCAGTTCTAGTTCAGTTCTAGTTCAGTTCTAGTTCAGTTCTATGTCAGTTCTAGTTCAGTTCTAGTTTTAGTTCAGTTCTAGTTCAGTTCTAGTTCAGTTCTAGTTCAGTTCTACTTCAGTTCTACTTCAGTTCTACTTCAGTTCTAGCTTCAGTTCTAGTTCAGTTCTAGTTCAGTTCTAGTTCAGTTCTAGTTCAGTTCTAGTTCAGTTCTAGTTCAGTTCTAAGTTCAGTTCTAGTTCAGTTCTAGTTCAGTTCTAGTTCAGTTCTAGTTCAGTTCTAGTTCAGTTCTAGTTCAGTTCTAGTTCAGTTCTAGTTCAGTTCTAGTTCAGTTCTAGTTCAGTTCTAGTTCAGTTCTAGTTCAGTTCTAGTTCAGTTCTAGTTCAGTTCTAGTTCAGTTCTAGTTCAGTTCTAGTTCAGTTCTAGTTCAGTTCTAGTTCAGTTCTAGTTCAGTTCTAGTTCAGTTCTAGTTCAGTTCTAGTTCAGTTCTAGTTCAGTTCTAGTTCAGTTCTAGTTCAGTTCTAGTTCAGTTCTAGTTCAGTTCTTCAGTTCTAGTTCAGTTCTAGTTCAGTTCTAGTTCAGTTCTAGTTCAGTTCTAGTTCAGTTCTAGTTCAGTTCTAGTTCAGTTCTAGTTCAGTTCTAGTTCAGTTCTAGTTCAGTTCTATGTCAGTTCTAGTTCAGTTCTAGTTTAGTTCTAGTTCAGTTCTAGTTCAGTTCTTGTTCAGTTCTAAATAAGTTCTAGTTCAGTTCTAGTTCAGTTCTATTTGACTCTAGAGACTAGCCAAAAGCCTAGTCTATAATTTAGTCTATAAACTAATCCATATAGTAGTCTATATACTACTTGATACGCTAATTCATAGGCTACTCAAGAGAATAGTTAATAGACTAGTCGCTAGGCTATTCAATAGACTAGGCCATATGCTATTCACTAGAATAGTCCATAGACTAGTTCCTAGACTTGTCAATGGACTGGTCTATAGACAAGTCTATTGACTGGACTATAGACTATTCAATACATTAGCCAATAGCGTCCAACTTAACTACCCTTTGTTTTTTTCTCATTCGTTTGTCCGCTCTTCCTCTCATTACTATTTTGTTTCAGATGGATCTTCTCACGCCGTGACAGCATATGTGGACTGGGCAACTAACGAACAATAGAGCTTTACCTTATATTTAATGGAGTTCATTTGGAAAACACTTAAATTCGTAAATTTGCAATGAAGGGTTAACATTAAGCGTGCTATATCCGCTATACTACTACCTTAGTTGTTTTTGTATGTTGAAGAATTAAATTTTATTTACACTATTTTCTTCTATTTGTTTTATACAAATAAAAAAATACCGGAGTTTTTATTTTACGAATGCAAACTATAAAAGAAAGGCGATAATAAACAAAACACAATGATGAACACGTCATAGAAAAGAAGTAAAAACAAAAAACACACAGCAAAATGAATAAAAACCTAAAACACACCGGAGACTCATTTTTTACACTTTTTTAGGTTTTTTTTCTTTTGGTCACACAAGTGAAAGTCATTGGCATTTAATTCATAGAAAATTTGCATAAACTACAAATTAAATATTACAAAAAATAGCTAATGATATTTTAAATTAGGTTAAGGTATTTTTCCAGTAATTATTTCTTTATTTTTTGCAAAAATTTACCACAGCAAAACTGGTATTAGGCAACAAAAAATTGTGGCAAAAAATCAATATTTGTTTCCAATGAAATTTTATAATTTTTTTCATTAATTTTTAAGCTTAAAAGAGTTTAACTATTATAAAAAATCAATAATTATTAAATATAATAAAATGCCTTTTAAAACTTTAATATTTAATTGAAAAATATTAAATTTTTGCCCAAACGTGTTTTAGGTGGTAACTTTTTTCCTACGCATTACATTTAACACTTTTTATTTTACATTTTTTATACAATTTGTTGGATTTGATAGTACAAACTTCAATAAAACAATAAATTCTTTTAATGTTTAATTAAATTTTTATAATTTTACTTAATAAAATATAAAAGAAATTACCGATCTTTTCACCACTCAGAAAAATAAATTTACAATAATGAATACTCGAATATTTTTCTTTTCTTTTTGCAAAATTATTTAAAGAAGATGTCACTTTCTACAACAAATGCAAAAAATTACAAAAACCACTGGCAATTTGTTTTTGTTAATGAGTTATGTACTGTCACAGCTTGCCTGTTGTTGTTGTAAATGCAAATAATCCGCTTGGCTTGTGAGGTCACTTTTCAAAACACTGTTTTTTGGACATTATTGACTACCGAGTACTGACAAAAACGATTACCTTAATAGTCAATAAGGTAACATTGTTAATTTAGTGCTTTTTCGAACATAACAATGAAAAGCACTAATTTATTTCCTATTTTAATTATGAAATAACTGCATATGTAAATCAAATAAAATATCTGGAGTAATCAGCAACTTGATTTCAGGAAACACATGGACAAATCTAAATGTTCTTCTCAATCTATAGGAATTCAGAATATATACTTTATAGGGCCCATAATCTAGTCTATAGTTTAGTCTATAGTCTAGCATACAGTATAGACTATACCCTACAAACATTAAGAAGATATCTTCCATAGAAGATAAAAAAGCAGTCTAGTCTAAAGTCTACAATAGATTAGTCTATAGTCTAGACAATAGATTAGTCTTTAATCTAGACTATAGATTAGTCTATAGTCTAGACTATAGATTAGTCTATAGTCTAGACTATAGATTAGTCTATAGTCTAGACTATAGATTAGTCTATAGTCTAGACTATAGATTAGATATCATCTAGACTATAGATTATGTTGTAGTCTATACTATACACTAATCTATAGTCTTAACTTGTTTTTTTTTTATTAAGACAGTCTTGTATTTAATCGAAACTAACACTTTTGACCCATATTAATTGGTTAACTGTAATAAATAATTTATTTAAGTGGTTACGGCAAAAGTAACTATTAGAAATACGGGTACATAATTGAAATGACTTTTCAACACTAGTCACAGGAATGACTATTTAAATTTTAAAACGTTTGAAACGTACCACAAAAAAACTCGGAGCAAACTTTTGCATTATATTTTCTACATTCTTTTAAGCAATTATTTTATGCAAATTCAGTTAATTGTTATTAAGTTTCAATTATTTTCTTCAGTGTCAACTTATTGTTTTAAAATTTTAACTGTGCTTTTAGTAGAAAAGTAAGTACATATATGTACAAAAGTGGGTATGTATGTATAAAGTCTTGCTCACAATGCTGCAGTACTCTACTCTGCACTCCTGGAGTTGAAAAAATAGTTTCAACTGTTCCAAGTATAGATAATGGGTCTTATTCGTAATTATTACAAACAAAACTTATCGAATAAAATCTATTGATGATCTTGGCTTGTTCGAAATTTTTACAGTGTCTCACAAAAGTTTTCGAATTCAGTTTTTTTTATAAGAATATACATATGTAGACATAGATTTTCTTTGATATTTACTTATAAATATCTTGTTCTTATCGATTCTACAATAGCTATGGATACCAAAGCATTTTGGATAGAATTTCTGGAGATATACCACTCACATCCAGCATTATGGCGTTTTAAAAGTAAAGAATACAAAAATAAAACATTGAAAGAAGAGGCGTATATAATTCTAATTGAGAAAATGAAAGAGCTTTATCCCGAGGCGAATAAGGATATGGTGTTAAAGAAAATAAATACATTTCGATCTTCATACCGTCGGGAAAAGCGGAAGGTGCAAAACAGCATGAGGAATGGATCGTCTAAAGACAATATTTACAAGCCGAAATGGTTTTTCTTCGATAAATTAAAATTCTTGGACGAACAATATGGTGCTAAAGTTATTACACCGTCCATGCATGACGTGGTAAGTGGAAATGAGTAATATGTAGTAAAAAAACTTACTTTTCATACCAATTTAGGAAAGAGAAGATGAGGGTTCATTAGTAGAGCAACTAATTGCATTAGCGGAAGGATTTTTGGCTAAAAAAGAAAACTCTTATGAGGACGATGCAGCTGTGGAGGAATTGTTGATAATTATTTTTATTTATTTTTTATTGAAAGAGAAAGATGAGGGTTCATTAGTAGAGCAACTAATTGCATTAGCGGAAGGATTTTTGGATAAAGAAGAAAACTCTTATGAGGACGATGCAGCTGTGGAGGAATTGTTGATAACTATTTTTATTTATTTTTTATTGAAAGACAAAGTAAGCAGATTTTAGAAATCGGTGTTTAGGTAGAAAATTCCAAAGTGCTTTATTTTTCATAAAATCTTATGTATGTAGGATGTACGTATTCTTAGTTGATTTCTTTTAAAATAGTTTTAATAATTTTTATATTTTTGTTAAATTTTATTTATGTTATTATATTTATTTTTCAAATTGGATAAAAAACTTGAAAAGTTTAAATGAAATAACAATTTTTATATATGAAAAATGTTTTTCGACTGTTGCTTGTCGTCAGCGGTAGCAATTGTAATTAATTTCACTACTTTTTAACAACGGCAAACATCGAAAGCCGTTTCATTTTATTTGTTCGGCACCGGACTCTTCTGTTACTTATTCATGTTGTTGAATGAAATTGTTGTAAATTTTGGTAATTATTATTGTTATCTCGTACTTGTTATCAGTTATTTAGTAAAAACTTTATAAGCAAGTGTTAAGATGTCTTCAATTTACGACAATTTGCCTTTGGTAAGTACGATTATTGAGATAAATTTGTTGTTAAAGTACAAAAAATATTTTGAAATTTCATCTCAATAACAGGAGCATCCTCGCAAATTGATACCGGCTTTATGTCAACAGTTTTATCATTTGGGATGGGTTACTGGTACCGGTGGTGGTATTTCGATTAAATTGAAGTAAGTTAAAAAAAGTTATTAAATATGTACTTTAATTATGAAACTGCAGACTAATTTTAGTAGAAAGAAAGTTATTTCCATAACGCAATAGTTTAAATCGTAATAGCAAAGATTCAAACCATGGAGTTTAAAAGGTCATTGCGAAACAAAAATGTTATGATTAGAATGTACATATTTCAGAAGATTTTACTTTTCAAGGTTGTCACGTTTTCTATCTTCTAAAATGTAATAACAAAGCTTAAGTTTAAAAATAATTCAGGAAAATATTTACTTTATAAATTTTTGCACATTTCTAGCAATGAAATTTACATAGCTCCCAGTGGTGTACAAAAGGAACGCATTTTACCCGAAGATTTATTTGTACAGGACGAAGAGGGCAAAGATATACAAATTCCGCCCGATTATAAGCAGTAAGTTTTCAATTCGTATTAACTAAACTTTTCAATTAAATAAAAAAAAATTCCATTTTCTTCAAAGTTTATCCAAAAGTCAATGTACACCACTCTTTATGTTGGCCTATCGTCATCGTAATGCGGGCGCTGTTATACACACACATTCCCAGCATGCTGTTATGGCTACTTTATTGTGGCCCGGAGAGGAATTCCGTTGCACTCACTTGGAAATGATTAAAGGCATTTTTGATGATGAATCAAAACGTTATTTACGTTATGATGAAAAATTGGTGGTGCCTATTATAGAGAATACTCCGTTCGAAAGAGATTTGGCGGATTCTATGTATGCAGCCATGATGAAATATCCTGGTTGTTCAGCGATTTTAGTGAGACGTCATGGTGTTTATGTTTGGGGTGCCACATGGGAAAAGGCCAAAACTATGTAAGTGTTAATTAACTCTATAATTTATAGATTATTTTTATTAACTTTGTCTTCTATAGGGCGGAATGTTATGATTATTTGTTTTCGGTGGCGGTTGAAATGAAGAAAGCCGGTTTAGATCCTGAAAAGTTTCCTTAAACATTAAAATATTTTGTTAATAATTTTTGTTTGTATTTTAAGTTAAAAATACATATTCTTGGTTTATTTTTTGTTTAAAAAATTAAAAAATCTCTGAAAAATTATAAATTGTATAACATAAAAAAATAATAAAAACAAAAATTCTGGCATCACATTCGATGACTTGGTAGCTAGTGACTTAGATGGTAGCTTAAGTTTTAAGTATGCAGGTGTTTGTAGGTAGGAATAATTTACATAGAAAGCTTCCCTCATTCCCCATTTGACTCCGTTTCCTTTTATAAAACAAAATTGTATTGGCGTCTTAAGCAATTAATTTCTAAACTAGTTTATTAAATAAAACTAATATGCAGAAAGTTTTCATCTCATGCGACGCATTTTACGCTCCATTTTACGTTGTTTTTTCTCATTGATTTCGGGTTCCTCTTGTTCATTCTTTTGATCCAACCAAGGTTTAATTACACTACCCCAAAGCATCCATAAAGCTCTGAGAGGTGCCAATAATAACAAATACCAAAAGTAATTGGAGATTAGTACCAACAACATGGTGCCCGAGGTTAAAATAATCAAGTCCTTGACATTTCTACAAATTAATAGATTTTAAAACTTAACATAAAGTTCCCTTATAGAAATGATAGTTAACTTACTCCGCAATACCACCTTCCATATTCAAATCATTGCCAGAATCCACTAAAGCTCCTGTTTCGGAAAATTTAGGTTTAGACATAAAAGCCATAAACTGATAGGCAGCCCCCAAGGTTAACAAAGCCAAAATACTCATAATCTGTTAAAAACAGAAAGAACATTATTTTATAACTTATTGAGGAGGATTTTTTGTTTGTTTTACCACTTACCACTGTCACCTTGCCTACTTCAAAGAATATAAAATTAACTAACAGAGAGGCGGCTGCACTTCCTAAGGCCATATTACGATAAAAACTTAAGGTGCCCTTGTTCTCTTCCACTATCTGTTTGGCTCCTTTTGTGCCTTGTTTGCCCTTTTGTTGTGGCTGTTTTAATCATGTTGTTATTACTAAGAGCTGGAATTTTTGCGATTTTGGATCTACTTACCGCCATATTTAATTGATTTAATTGAAAATTTATTAATAAAAACTTGAAAAACGATTCGTTGACCAGATCTACTTTCTATTTCTTCTTTTTCTCAAGGGTTTTTCTCTTTTTTGTAGCAAGTGACAACTGCTCTGTTTACGATTGTGTGTGATGACACGCGTCAAACAAGACACGACAGTAAATGTCAATTTAGGTGGCATTTACACGGTATTGTTTTTAGTTTGTGTTCTCAAACATTTTTTTAATTGCTTTCTTTGAAAGTAAACAAGAAGTCGATTTTTAACAAAATCGATTATTTGACTTTTTCAGAAGATTGACGATTTATCAAGAATACAGTCGATTTCAACTTTTCGAAAAAAGTGATCTTTAAATCGACTTTTGAACTATCAACTTTTTGTTGAAATAAATGGTAGTTGTAAATATTGTCTTGTGGAAAAATGTATAAAAGTCGACTTTTCATAAATTGTAAAAAGTCGAAAGTAGAAAATGTCAATATAAGAAAATATTTATAAGCTGATTTTTTTGCTACAATAAAGGCCCAAATAGACTACACAAGCGGCTTGACAAACATACCAATATTTTACGTTTGTGCAAGCCTTTTGTGTAGTGTATGAGGATGTTTCGTGTTTGTACAAATGCTTGCTGTTTGTTTGTACAAAAATTAAAAAATTTTGATTTTTACACAAACATATTGAATTTTTGTCAAACCATTTGTATGGTTTATATTCAATAATAAAAAATTTTTCAAAAAATTTACATTTCTAAGAAAAATTGACATCTGTATCTTTGAAAGTCCACAAAAACGTGAAAAAATCGGTGTTTGCACGAGCAATGATTACACAAACATTACTCGTGCAAACACCGATTTTGTGTGCGAATGAAAAAAGTGTGAGCGAATGAAAAAAGTATGTTTGATAAGCCGCTTGTGTAGTCTATTTGGGCCTTAAGTGAACAAAGTTGACAAATGTTGTAAAGTCGGAAAAACTGACTTTACGTAAATAACAATAATTTTAAAAGTCTCTTTTTTGTTTCAACAATTGAATTTAATAAATCGACTTTCGGACAATCAACTATATTTATAAATGATAAATACGCATCGACAAAGTTGCTAAACATATAATTGAAAACTGCATTTTTTAATGACGACATTTCATAAAATACAAAAAAACTAAAAGTCGACATTTTGTTTCAACTATAAAATCCTACTAAGAACAAACAAAATTCTAAAAAGTAAAAATATATATTATTAAAAAAATTAAAAAATATTTTATAATTTTAATCGTTTGTTCGAAAACCCTAACAACGTTAACAAACTTCCAGTCTGGCATCTCAATAAAAGTAATATCTGACAGGGTTGGCAATGTTGGTACAATTGTACTATTTTTTGTACAAGCACAATTGTAAACCACTGACCAAGGTATATTTATTTTATAAGGTAGTGTTAAGGGCGAATTCAAAAAAACTTGGGCGAATCGAAATACAACACTGTACAGTATTTGTTTTTGTTTAGGCGAATTCTGGTGTAGGCACAATGTCAAAAACAGCTGATTTATAATATGAGGCGAATTTGTAAAAATTAAAAAAAAAAAAGTTGTTTGTAAATAAAAGATTTTTTGAAATATAATAAAATTGTTAAAATTCTTCGTAAGTAGCCAAAGAATTTGTCCAGCGTTTAGAAAGTTGTTTAATGATTTTCCCTATTAGGAACACTCTTCGGTCTAGACAAGAAAATGCTAAAATAACGTTTGTCGGCTGATCAGTGGAAGGCTTGTTTGCAGCAGAAGGACACAAAGGCTCAACAATTATTTATGGATATAATTATTTTAAATAATTGCCTTTTCAAGTTTTTAGTGAAATCTTAAACTACAGACCTCACTCCATTTTTCTCTTTTTTGAATGTCTTTGGGCACATTAAAAAATGTCCCACCTCCAGCCTCCACTTTCTTCCCACATATTTTGCAACAGCGCATTGTTTTTTTTTTAATTTCACAATAATAACACTTTTATCACTCACAATTTTTCACAATTTGATTATAAATTTAGTTTTACTTTTAAAAGCACACTTTTAAATGTCAAATTAAAAATATAAACAAACTTTG